TGCGAAACTAGATTGATCATTGCGTCGGCCAAGGTTTCGAAACGTTCAAGCCAGTGGCTGGTCAAGTTCGAACATGTATCTTTCAGACGGCCAGGGTCAAGCGTGATGCACATGAGTTTTCCTCAAGATGTCATGGCAGTCAACAAAGCCACGTGACATGCTTGCAGTGAAGCTTCAGGGACGCTCGGGTAGCTTGAAAAGTTAGGGGCCGGTACGAGTCATTTAGGGGCGGATTGGGCAATTTAGGGGCGGATTGAGTACCTTAGGGGCGACGAATCTAGGGGCGCGGATGAGCAGGTGCCGGGTTTCAGTGGTTCCATTGTGCGCAACTTTTCGAAATACAAAATACATAAAAATGCCGGAGCCTTGGATCGAACCGGCGCCCCTAAATCGAAAGAATCGATTCGAGATCGATTCTCGGTTACCGGTATCGATATTGGACCAATCGATTGTATAACCTCTGGGACCGAATCGATTCGAGATCGAGCCTCGAAACTCGAAAAGTTCAGAACTACTTATTGTACTAGTTACTGTTGGGCGGGCCGAACTGTGAACGAGTACCAGTACTTGTCACTGACAAGTTGTCAGCAGGCTATTAAACAGCCGCTGTTTAACTACTGACCAGTTAGTAAGTGGTACTTGGTTGCTGGAACTCAGTATCTGTCTCAAGGTCCTACTTGGCAAGCTTCGCTATCCTTCAGTACTGCGGTCCTCTTTCGGCCACCTGCACTCCTCCGGACCCGATATATTTCCACATATCACATCCCGGGATCGAACCTCCGACCTCCCGTTTACTAGCCAACACGCAAACCCTGTTTGCGTCCCGAGCCTATTTGGAAACAGACGTCATATCCCTGCTGTCAGTAGGCCGCTGATATATCCTCTTTTCTTGCCGTACCGTCGCTCACAACCAGATCCCCGAGAAAAGCTGTTTCCAAGGTCAAGCTTAGACCCTTCGCCAAGTCCAAATAATAATTAAGAGAACAAAGAACTGTAAATTAAGCGGAAAAAGAGACACCCGAAACCCCACCCGAAACCCGATGGGGCAACCAGAAACCCAGACTTTTCTCCAAGGCCGAAGTGTAACCCAAGGCCAAACTGTAACCCAAGGCTAAGCTGACATCCTACTGGACAAGTCAAGCTGAACTGAGATGACGGCTTGAAGGATTGTATTAACCTAGCATAGCTAAGCTAGATACCCTGTAGTTGACGCTAGTCTCCATTCGTAGTTCCTAAGTGATACTGTGATTATGATCTCATAGTAACGTGATGATAATTTTGTACGGTTCTTTCTTATTTCTTTTGATTTGATAATAAATCTACCCTACTCGTACAGTTGCATTGAGTTCGAGTACACTACTCTTCCTTAGCCGGGTGTTCAAGAAACAACACGAAACAGGCTCCTGAGAGTGCTGCTGAATAGCGCTTTTGAAGTGCTCTCCTGGAATCACGTTCAACGAACGCGCTCCCGAAATATATCGGGAGCTCTCCTGGGAGTCAGCAGGAAATCTGTTCAAATAACAGAGCCTTTGAAAAGCGCGCTTCAAATCCTCTCTTGAGAGCTCTTTGCATCGCTTCGCTCGTAGCGCAACTTTTGATCGATTACTTTTGTACTTAGCATCTTTGACAGTTGGAAACAACGAGCCTCTTTCACTAAT